AAAAATAAAAAAAAAAAAAAAAAAAAAAAATACTAGTGATATAAGTATAAATGAAGAAGAAAAATTAAATTTTAATGATTTTAAAAAAAGTGATATGAATGATATAGGAAATTATTACACCAAAAATTTTAGTGATATAAAAAAGAATAACTTTAGTAAAGAAAAGAATAAAAAATTTAATTTTAGTGATGATTCCTTTAAAAAAAAAAAATCGCAAATATCTGATAATGAAAATAGTGAAATAAGTAATTATTTATACGGAAGATATTCAAAAATGAAAGATAATAAAAGAATGAAAAATATTTTTAAAGAAAAAAGTGTAAGTAATATAAGTTTAGATAGCTCTTGTTCTTTTGAATTAGACTTTTTTTATGATAAAGATAAAACTTCAGATATGAAGAAAAGCAAAAAATTTTTAAAAAATCCTACCAAAAAAAGAATGTATAAATTAAAGAAAATAATTGAAATATTAGAATATTCAATATACAATGAAGAAAAGGAAGGTGTAAAGTTAGAATCGAAATTATATGAATATGTTTTATTAACAAAAAGTTTAAAACAAAAAATCTCTAATTTAGAAGAATTAAATAACACTAATAAGAATAAAATGATTTTATATGAAAAAGATATTTCTAAGCTTAAAGAGCAGAATGAAGAAATGAAATTAACATTATCCACCTTTGAAAATGAATTGAGTAATCTAATTAATAAGTTTGACAAAAATTTCGCAAAAGAATTAATTGACACAAAATCTCAAAATGATGTATTAAAAAAAGAAGTAGAAAGATTAAAAATGGAAATTGAAAAAAAGAATTATGAAATAAAAAAAATAGAAAATTTAAATGATATTACAAAAAAAAACATTAATGATAATATTACAACAAATAATATTAATAATAATAATAATAATAATACAAACAGTGTTTCAAATAATGAAAATAATGAAAAATTAGAAAATGATAACATAACAAATAATAATAAAACAACAAATAGTAAAAATGGTAATGCAAATATCAACGAAAAAAGTAAAGAAGTGACAATACATGAATTTCCATATTATTATGGCAATAGTGAAATGATTGATTCAAATATTGTAGAAGATTTTATTTCAAAAATGAAAACTATGAGAATAAATTTTGAAAAAAATATAGAAAAATATGATGAAGAAACGAAATCCCTAATTTATGGATGTTACATTTCTAATTTTTTATTAGAAAATAAAGATATTTGTAATCATAAAAAAATATTGAAGCATTTACAAGAATTTTGTATTACTGAATCAAAATTTTTAAATATACATTTATGCTTAAAAAAGGAAAGAAGTGATTTACCAACTAAAGAATTAGAAAAAGAAGTTATAAAACAATTAGAAAATTCTGATTTAGATAAAAATAAAGATAGAGTTTGCATGATAAATTCTATTATATTATTATTAATTTTTAAAAATATGCATATTTTTAATTTATATAAAATCTTCATAACGTCATTAAAATGTGATAATTTTCGATGGATAAGAATAGTTAAAAAAGCACTTTTTCTCAAATTTTTTGATTTATGTCTGATTGATACAAACATGAAAGTAAATGAAATACAAAATCAGAAAGAAGCAAAATTAATTAATGTCAATGGTGTTGGTTTAACTACCAATGAGAATATAAATTACAATATTAAACATCCATTGTTTTATTGTGCAAATGACACATTAAAAAATTTTATAACAACTATGTATTTAAATTTTTATAAAGATCCAATTAACCCTCAAACTAGTGATAATATATATCATTATGTTTTGCAGAAAAAGAACTTAGATGTATTAAAGATATTGAAATTATCAGGAAAAAATTATAATTATATATTTAATAAAAATTCAGAAGATAAAACCCCATTAGACTATATTGATAATGAAGATATAAAAATAGATTTAATATCAGGTTATATATTAGATATAGCAGGAAAAGGAGCTGAAAATTATAAAAATTCCAAATATGAAGTAGCATATGACTTATATACTGAGGCATTAGAAAAACAGATAAAATTATCAGAATCTGTGAAAATGGGAAAATCAATGAATGAAAATATTGGAAAATTATATTATAATAGAGCAAGAACATTAATGCATTTAAATAAATGGATAGATGTAATTGAAAACTGCAATAATTGTTTAAAATATATACCTAAATATGTTAATGCCTTTGATACACAAATTCAAGCCTATGAAAACTTACTAGAGTATGAAAATGCTCTTCTTACATATAAAAATATGTGCATTAAATGTAATATAAAACCAGATGAAAAAGAGGAAAAATTGAAATCACAAATTAATGCAACTTGTTTTCAAATTTTAAATATAAATAAAAACTGTAATGTTGCTGAGATTAAACAAGCATTCTCCAATTTGTCAAAAAAATGGCATCCAGATAAATTAGGAATTAATATAAGTGCTGACATAAAAAAAAGACACAATAATCATTTCAAAAGATTATTTAAAGCTAAGCAATTGTTATTAAATGACATTGAAAGACAAAAAGAAAAAAAAAAAAAAGAAACAAATTACATTTACCCACAGATTATTGAAGATACAAAATTCTCAAATAGTAATAATAAAAAAACCAATATAAATAATGAAGAATCAAATCAAAAAAATTGCAATAAAGAAGAGAAAAAAAATGATACATATACAACATCCTATAATAATAACGGAGTGTTCAAAAATATAAACACAACAGATTTTACAAAAATTAATGAAAGTAATAACAATAATCATGAGTTTTTTAAAAACGAAAATAATAAATCGAATTTCATTAATAATGATATGGACAAAAATTTTAACAAAAATAATAATGTAAATTTGAATGACTCAAAAAATAATATTTATAATTCTTATAAAGATGATATTGATAAATTTCAAGAAAAATTGAAAAATTTGAACAAAGCAAATAATGATATTGAAAATAATAAATTCTTTAACTCGTTTCCTAATATATTTGATAATAAATTTTCTAATATGAATAATGAAAAAATTGATGAAAATTTTTATAAAAAATTAAAAGAAGAATATGAAGTATTAGGTGATGATGAATTAAGTAACCTTAAAACCAAATTGTCAAATTCTATTAATAATCTTATACAAACAGAGATAAATTTAAAAAGAGAATATCAAGAATTATGTATTAAAGAAAAAACAAATGTAATTATGAATGCAAGGTTATGTATATTACAAGAAATACAAAAAGCTTTGTGTGTCCGATTGGATAAAGAAAGAAAATTGAAAGTTATTGAAAATATTATTAAAAGTAGAAATGACGAAAAATCATCTAATTTAAATAAAACCAACTCATTTTCAAAAAGAAATAGTACAGAAGAAATATATGAGGAAAACAATAACAATGATAAAAAGGAAAACAATCATTATAATAGCATGAATGACAAATTTAATTTAAAGAAGAATACATATGAAAATGAAGAAAAAGTAGATCAACAAAATAAAGAAGATAAAAATAATGAAGATGAACAAGAAGAAAAAAATAAAAGTAACGAAGATTATAAGGATGAAAAAAGTTGTGAAGAAGAAAAAGGAAATGAAGCAGAAAAAGATAATGAAAAAAAGGGATGTGATAATAATTGTGATTATGAGAAAGAAGAACATGAAGAAGATTATGAAGAAGAATTTGACGAAACAGATAAAATAGAACAAAAAGATAATAATAGTAATATAGAATATTACCATGAAGAAAAAGATAACAATAATGAGGAGAAAAAAAAAAAAAATAAGAAAGAAAAAGAAACATTTGACGAAGAACAAACAAAAAAAAAAGTAATGAAAGATTATGGAAGTACTAAAGAAAATAAAAAATATAAAAAAATAAAAGAATGTAAAAACAATAATGAGGAGGATGAAGAGAAAATTAATGAATTAAATAAAACTAAAACGGATGAATCAAGAAGTGCAGATTCTGAAATTTTTAAGTATATTGATGAAAAAAAAATATACCATGAAAATGAAGAGATATACGAAAATTTTCAAAGTGATGAAAAAAATAATAATTTTTTTACGAATATAACGAATCAATTGAATCAACCATTTAAGTATGTAAGCGTTTTAATTAAAAATAAGAGATCAAGTGAGAATGAAAAAAATAATGAAAATTTATCAGAAGATAATTTTATTTTTATAAATAACAACAATAAAAAAGAAAGTAGTAATAGCAATAATAATTTATTTTATAACTTAAATAATGAAACATTTTACGAAGATATAAATGAAAAAGAAATTTCAAAAAATGAATGTGTTATGTCAAATAATAAAATTTTTGAGAAAACACTAAATAAAAAGGGAGGAAATAGTTTTGTACATAATGTTAATTATGATAATGAGATAGATCAAAATGATAACAAAATAAAGGAGGAATTGTCCCAGTCACCTTTAAGAGAAGAGTATCATTATGAAAATTATACAAAAAAATTAGAAACTGAAGACACTGATAATTCAAATAAAATGAATTCTATAAAACAAGACTCTTTTTACAACAAGAAATTTAATATAGATGAAAATATTATTATGTATCCAAATAAAAATGATTATCTTCATAGTAAAACAGTAAAAAATGATAAAAACTTTAAAATAGGTTTTTCAAGCGAACATATAAATGATGATTATTTTGAAAATAATTCATTTATAAACTTGAATTCTAGCAATATACACTTTTTTGATAAAAAACAACAATCTTTTAAAATAAATGAAAATAAAGAAGAGGAAAATATAGATAATGATGATAACTTAATAAATTTTGAGAATCTCGTAAAAAAAGAAGGTCATTTGTCATCTTCGAGAATTAATGATAATAATTTTTCCGGTAAAAATATAGATAAGGACAATATATTTAATAGAGTAGGGAGTAATAGCTCAAGTATGAACGATTCTTATTCAGAAAAATTTATAGAAAAGCATTTTATTTATTCCAATGATAATTTCGATAAAGAGAAAAAAAAAAATAAGATAAAAAATGCGAATATTAAATATACAAGTGATAATGAAGTAATAAATAATGAGAAAAAAATTTTCAATTTATACAACGAAAAAAAAAAAATGAATACATATGAATCCTCATTTTTTGATCAAAATTTACTATCTCCTGATTCTTCAAATAGCAAAAATAATTATGAAAAAATTACTTTAAAAAAAAATGATGAAAATAATACAACCTTTTTAAATTATGATAAGTTTGATAATTATAAAAATAAAGAAGAAACAAATAATTTCTATAACGTAGATAATAGTAATAATATTAAAGATGAAAAGAAGTTTATTAATATAGATTTAAATGAAAGCGAAAATAATTTATATCAAAATGATATTAATACCATAAGTGAAAAATTAAATAATAATGCTGATAGTTTTATTTATGATGAGAAAAAACTTCTAAATAGTACTTCAAAATTTTATAATTTGAACAAATCTTATAATTACGAAACTAAAAAATTCAGGAATTCAATGACATTTTTAAATGAACATGAGAACGAAAATAAAAATATAAAGAAAATGTTTTCTAATGAGTTAACCTCAATTTCATTAGATAAAGCGTTTGATCAAAAAAACAAATTCCCATTTAACGAAAATTTAGAAAAACTCAAGTATAAGAATATTAAAAGCAAAATAAAAAAGGATGAAAATGAATTAATTAAATTAAAAAAATCATGTTTAGATAAAATGAACACAAAAGTTGAGTTAGACAAAAATAAAAAAAATGATGTAAAAGAAAATAGTTTACTTAAAAAAAATATCAAAAGAAATTATAATATTGATGACAAACAAAAAAATATTGACCATAGCAGGAAAAGTAAACTCAAAGCAAAAGATAAACAATAAGCATATAATAAAATAATTTTTTCAAAATTTATATATGCAGTATTTTAGTTATAATTACCATTAGTTTAAATCTTTGGTTAAAAATAACGAATATTTTATTAAAAAAGTAAAATAGTTGTAATTAAAAAAAAAAAAAAAAAAAAAATAGGAAATGATCATTAAAAAGAATTTATGAAAAGAATTAGTTTATATATATATATAATAATATTATAATTGTTTATATATTAATTTGTTTATTTTTAATTTATTTATTTTTTTTTCTTTTCCAATTAGATTTTTTATAATTTTTTGAAGGATATATAAAGAGCATTTTTTTTTTATATAAATTATCCCTTAATAATAAATGAGATAAAATATCTTATGATATATATCTTAATGTTATTTTATTTTAACATCTTATATACTAAAAATGTATAATATAAAATAATAACAACTTAAAAAAAGATAACATATTTGAATTGTTAAAATAATTAGATTATTTCTTTTGTTTATTTCCTTATTTTTATGTTTTTTTTTTTTTTTTTTTTTTTTTTTTTTAGAGTTTTGAAATTTTATGTTATTTTATTTTTTTCTTTTATATATAATGATTTAAAAGAGAAAATATTTAATATATATTTTTTTTTCCTTTATATTTCATTTTATTTTACATTATATCCAATTTTTTTTTTTTAATATATTTTTATAAATTATCACTTTACAATTAAACTAATAGAATTTAGAATTGTTTTTATTTTTTGTGCAAATTTAATTTTTTCATAATTTGAATTCAAAATATTTTTAATGTTAATTAAATCAAGAATATGAAGTTTTTTTATTTCATTTAATATTTTATCTAGAACATTTGATATTAAAACTTCCACTTTTTCTATATGTAATTTTTTAGAATCATACAATAATAAAAAATTACCCTTGTCATATATTTTATATAAAATATTCAAAATTTTTGGATAATCTCTTGATGAAATTTTTTTTTTATTATTCATAAAAAAGTTTGTATAATTAACTAAGAATTTTAAAATAAAATACACCTTGTTTAATTCTTCTAACCTCTTTTCGCAAATGTGTTCACTAGTGTTTACTATTTTAAATAGGAAATTTAAGAATACACTGTTCGATAGGCTATTTATGCACACATTTAAAAATATTGCTTCCTTATATATTTCTTTTTCTTTAATCTCTTTGTTAATGCTTTCTAGATATGTAAAATATATATTTAACATTTTTTCCTTCGGATATTTTAAAAGATAAGTCATGATAATTATTTTTTGTAGTGGTTCAAGTAAATCAATAATTTCGTAACTTTTTATACTGAATTTTTCATAAAAAGAATTTTTATAAAAATTATATAAAGAAAATGTATAAGACAAGTTACTTAAATCAATATTATTAAGTTTTTCAACTTTTACATATTCTGAAACTAAATCAAAAAGATTATTGTCACAATGCTTCATTTTTCCAAAGCAATAAACTAAAAGGCATAAATGAGAATATTTCTTATTTTCTTTTATTAAATTATCTTTGTTTTCATTTTCTTTATGATTCAACGTATTCATTTTAATTGTGCCTTGTTCTTCATTAGATTTATCTTTATTATATCTATCTTTTATGTTTAACACTGTATTTTTACTATCTATTATATGATGTTTTATTTCATCATGGTTATTATATTTCTCAAAACTTTCACTTTCTGTTTTTTCTTTTAATAAACCTTGTTTATCTGTGCTGTCATTACTATTATTATTATTACTATTTTTATATGAAATTTTACTCATTTCACTATTTATTTTATCTTTCGTTTCATTACCTAGATGAAGAAAAACTTCATAGTCATATATTTTCATTTTTGTATAAGAATAAGCTATGTGAGACAAATCTTCGAAGTTGGCATAGCATATTTTATATAATAATTCTCTACTTATTAAATTTATAAATGAATTAAATTTTAAATTCAACCTTGAATAAGATAAAAGTAATAATGTTAAATCCTTTATATTAAAATTTTTCAACCATCTTTCATCAATTCTTTCAGCTATAAATTTGAAAATGCTATAATCATCATAATTGATTTTAGACAAATAATTTAAAGCAGTGGTTATACTATAGGGTTGCAGAAATGGTAAATGATGCTTTAATTCATTCCTCACATCATCCCAAAAAACCTTATTGTAAGTATTCAAATATTCTTTACTTATTAAATTATTATTCGAAATGAATGATATTTCACTTTTATTATCAAACCTCATATTTATTTTTCCATCTGTTTCTTTATTAATTTGTTCACTTGATAATTTATCATTATTTAAACATGTAACATTATCATTATTCTTATAATCAACCTTAATGTTAATTTTTTCATTCGCATTTTTTTCATTTAATATTACATTATATCTATAATTTTTTTCATGATTATTAAGTTGATCACAATTAATTTTATGTTCACTAATTTCAAATAAATATTTTAAATATTCCTTTTTTGCTATTGTTCCTAATTTATTTCCAAATTTTTTACGTGGTAATTCATTTACATTAATTTTCTTCATCCATGACTTTTGTTTTTTTTTTCTATTTATATCCTTATTTTTTAATTCTTTTTCATTTGTATAATTTCTGAAAATTAAAGTAATACTTATTTTTTTTGATATAATAGAATTGTTTCTCTTAATTTTTTCAAAATTTTTCATATAATTCAAAAAGTTACAAGCTATGTTCATTATTTTGTAATAAATATATATTTTTACAAATAATTTAAAAAAATATATGTATTTCCATTAAAATGACTTACTGCCATCCTCTATGATTCTTAATGTTTTTCTTTTAATAAATTTCGAATAAATTTTTCCTTTTTTACTTTATTTTATTTTAATTTCTACTCTTTTTTTTTCAAATTTTTTAAGGAAAAAATTATGATTTAAAGAATTACTTGAATAAATATTTATTTTCTCACTATCCATACATATATATATATAATTAAATGAAAATAGGTTTCCAAAGTTTTGGGTAATCATTTTAAGCACAATTCCAAATTGATACTAATAGGCACGTTTTTCATAACATCAACTCTATAATGAAGCCTTTTATTTATCAAAAATTTTAATTCTCATTTCGTTTCACAAAAAGTGAATAAAGATATTTAAATATTTAATATACTTTCTTAATATAAATAATTAATGATATAATGCCAAATTTTTAGTTTATAAAAAAAAAAAAAAAAAAAAAGCTACTTTATTGAAAAAAAAAAAAAAAATAAAAAGTAACATATGCATGAGCATGTTCATATTTTTTTTTTTTTTTTTCTAAAATATAAAAATATTCAACATTGTATTAAATAATACAAATTTTATAAAGTTTTTATTAATATAAAATTTTATTTATTAAATAATGAATTTTAGTGTACTAAAAAAGTATTGGAAATATTCTACAGCCTTTTTATATTTAATTTATTTACACATGTATGTGTATATTAATGTTTTTTTGTTTTAAGTGTGTGACACTATAACTCGTACATACAAACATATCATATATTTTTGTATTACTCATTTAAAAAAAAGATAAAACAAGAATATTTTATATTTTATTTTATTTATTTTTTTTTTTTTGTAAGAATTTCTATTTTTTTTTACAAAAATAATTTTAATGATTTAAAATATATATTTCGATTTCTATAATTATTTTGTTTTTTTTTGTTTACTACCATATTTTCCATTTTATGTGGAAATAATACATTTGTATTTTTTAAATTATAGATTTCTTTGTTTTAAATATATTTTGTTCCTTTTAATTACTCAAGTATTTTGTATTCACTGATTTATTTTACTAGTTATTAACTAAAAAATTAACCGCACTAATATTTATATATTATTTAAATGGAAAGAACAATCCATATAAAAAATAATAGCATGTCAAGCTTAAATAGAGATAATGAAGAAAGTGATTTTTCGAGGAACTATGACGAAATGAATTTTAGGAAATTTGAGATGAAACCAAACAAGCCACTAAAATGTGATATAAAAGAAAACAGATCATGGGTTGCATTAACTAGAAATATTCCAATAGACACATGTAATCGTATTGTAAATATTCCTACAAAGGAAACAAAAATAATACATAAACCAAAGATTGAATTAGTTGAAAAAATAAAAGAGGTTCCTACTTATTTTATTCAAAATAAAAATAAGGTAATAGAAGTTCCAGAAGTGAAATTTGTAGATAAAATCCAGTATGATCCCCTTTTTGTTGAAAAGCTTAAATATGTACCAAAAGAAATAACAAAATATAATATTATTGAGAAGCCTGTAGTAAAAAATATTATAACAGAAAAAAAAGTGGATGTTCTGAAAGTTCAAGAAAAAATAAGTTTCAAAGATCAAGAAATTGTAGAAGAAGTTTATCATTATTTTGATAAAGATAAGAACAAATTCATTAATGAAGATGGAAATACAATGGAAAATTATGACAGTTTAAAAGATAAAGATATGCAAATCAATTTTGAAAATCCCAAGCATCAATATGTGGATGACAATAATATATTACCACCTCTGTTGACACCATTTGGTCCACAAGTAAAATTGACAGAAAATAAAACAGTGGAAAATGTCTTTGTACCTAAAGTTGAAAAAGTAGTTGAAATAAAAAAGAAAATTGATATACCAATAAATCTACCAGTTCCTTATATAGTTCCAAAACCAAAAATTATAGATGTAGATGTTCCTGTTTTTAAATTTAATGATAAATATGTACCGGTGCCAGTTCGTAAAAGAATAATACCGAAAGTAACATGGAGTGATAAGGTTTATAAAGTAGATTGTTTGGTTGAAAAGCCTTATTTAGTTTATCATAATATAATAAAAATTGTACCAACGAATTCAACAATAAAGGTTAGAGAATATCCAAAGGGAATAACTAAAATAAATCCAGAAGAATTGTATGAGGTAGATAACTTGGCTCTATGGATGAGAGTAAATGCAGATTTGAAAAAAGAGAAGGATAAATTAAAAAAATGTGACAATCTATCAGAACATACATGTGAATGTTCAGATTGCGAATGTAATGAATCATTTTCTAATACTGAATTAAATTTATCACAAGAAGATATAACTACCATTAAATCTTCTAATGAAAATCTCTTTGAAACTCTTCCATTGCACCCAGGTCATCCTTTGGAGATGGTTCATTTACAAAATAAGTGGATTAAACAAGATACTACAAAGACTCAAGATATATATGATGAAAAATTTATGGATGCTCATAGAAATGCCATATTTAATTTAACTACTAGAATACCTCGTGAAGCAGAAATAGAAATAAAACAAATTTCAGAACTTCAAAAAAACATGCAGAAAGAAGGATTGAATATTATTCATAATGAATTATCTCACTTACCTGGAGAAAATATACATATGTAATTTTGAAATTCTAATTAAAAGATCTCTAGATTCTTAAAATAGCTTCTTAAGGATATATGGTATTTAGAGAATACTAAATAAAAACTTATTTAAGAGTAATCTTTTATATAATTAAAGAAAATTATTAAAAAAAAAATGTTTTTAAAATATTTTAATTAAAATTGAAAAAAAAAATTATGTAATTATGTTTATAATTAACTTTATTATTATTTTTTTTGTTTCTTTTGATCTATTTAATTTATAATTGAACTATATTTTTTTTTAATCATATTCTTTTTTATCTTTATATTATATTTTTTTTTTTTTTTTGTGTCATTGTTTTAAAATAATTTTTTTTTTTTTTTTTTTTTTTTTTTTTTTTTTTTTTTTTGTTACATTGTCTTAAAATATATATATTTTTTTATTTTAATATATTGGCTTAACATGTTATAATATGGAGATTATAATTAATAATTACATAGATTGTAACCAAATTATTTATATCATTTAAAACTAATATCATATAATACTTATTAATAAAAAACATATTAGTAAATTATTTCTATAATTCTTGTTATTCATTTTAGAACTGTTCTCATTTAGAAATTAAAAAAATTGTAAAAGTAAATTTTTAAAAAAATATGAAAAAAATATTATTAAAAGAAACAATTAAAATAATAATTTTTTCATATTTTATATATATGTTGAATGAGAAAATATGCTTTATAATTCATTTTATATATATAATATTATTTTCAATATTAATGCTTTTAAAAACATAATGAAGTTTTATGTAACTTAACTTTTTTTTTTTTTTTTTTTTTTTGAAATATTATTCATATTTCTATTTACATAACGTTACTAATGTATATGGATAACATAAATCATATTTATAACTTTATTTTATTTTGTTATTACTTTTTCCAAAAAAAAAATCATTAATATGTTTAATTATTAATTTTAGTTTGTTTTGCACAAAAATGAGAAGTAAATGATTACTGGTTAATGTAAAAAAAACAATACTAAAATAATTAAATGTATATCAAACTTTTCAATATAATTAGTAAGCAAATAATTTATAAAAAAAAATATATCAATAATTAAAAAATATAAAATACTCTTAAAGGGAAAAAAAATTTAAACCATTGTTGTACATTTATATTCCCCTGTAAACATTTTATTTTAAAATCTTCATAATAATTCTTTTTTTTCCGAGTTATATCTAAAAAATACAAAAAAATTGTATACATGTATAAATGCACTCGGTTGATCATAGTATTTTTTAACCACGATTTAAAAATATAGTATCTTTTATTAGTATTCAAAAATATACTATAGAGTGAATATGAATATAAAAATAAAACACGAATAATTTAAAATTGTAAAGATTAAAAATTTTTTCCTTTTTTTTTTTTTTTTATAATTATTTTATTTAATTTTGTGATTTACTTAATTGTATAATCGTAAAATTTAAGTTATAATTGAAAAATTTGGGATAATTGAATCATAATAAAAATGGTTTTAAAAATGAAAAATTGTTTCTGTATTTTTATTGAAAAAAAACATAATTAAATAAAATAAAAAAACAGAAATATAAATATAAAATAAAATAAATAATTGTGTGTATATTTATTACTCCATATATATATTTTTTTTTTTTTATTTTATTTATCGCTTTAATCGCAAAATTTTGTTTATATTTTTACTTTTTTAATTTTATGTAAAATATGGCATGTAAATTGCTAATTAAAAACATAAATTGACATTATACAACTATATAAAAAAAAATTCTTGTTGCTGTTGTTTTTTTTTTTTTTATTTCTTTTTTTCTTTTTTTTTTTTGCAAATTTTTATGTAATATTATTTATATTTTTAATAAAATTTCATTACCTTTAATAAAAACATTTTTTTTTTTTATATTTTTTTTGTTTGGTTAATTGTATTTTTATATTTTTAAGGAAATAATATAATATTGTACAAATTAAAAAAAACAATATACATACGTATCAATATACATTTTATATATGCATATATATATATATATGCATATACATATATATATGTATATTTATGTATTTATTATAAAAAAATAAATAAATTGGACACGTAAAAGCAATTTTTAAATGTTTTAAAAATATTAGTATTATGTGCAATATAATTATTTTATTATAAATCATATATAATATGTATATATACATGTATAAATGTATATTTAAATATTAAAAATATTATATACAAAATTAGCATGTTTTGTGTGCAATTAATATAAATTAGTAGTTAGAATAAAAATACAACGAAAATTAAATCTGTTACATAATGTTGTATAAAATAGTGTAAAAGCAAATGAAAATCAAAAAGAATAATATATTTATAAAAATAAAAATTATATGAAAACTCAAGAAATTTAATAAACTTTCAGATTTAAAGTACACAGTAAATAATATTTCTTTTATATAAGAAAAGAATAAAATTTAGGTAAAATATTAAAATTATAATTCTTTTCCATAACTTATTTAACTTCATAAATTTAATAATAAAAAGTAAAAAAAAATTCATAAATAATTTATATATATATACTACTCGTAACTTTATTTCAGAACACATACATGAAAATAAATGTTTATACTTTAACTAAACACATTAATGTAAATATTTTTTTTTAGTTTGACTTAACAAAATAGATGTAAAATATTTTAACATTTTTAATTCATTAAAATAGAAAATGCATATTAAATTTTAATTTCTCTTATATTTTTATTAATTATATTTTTAACCTAGAAAAACATATGGAAAAAAGCATTGTGATTATGCATGATAAAATAAAAAGAAGAGAAATAGATAAAACAAAAGCAAAGGAAATAAGCATAATAAAAAACTATGGGATTAATAATCATAAGAATGAAACATATGATAACAATGATAAGAAAATAAATAATAAAAATTTAAAACCTGAAAACACAAATTTGACATTAAAAAATTACAATGATAATAATGAAAATGATTCTTTCTGCTATGAATGTTATCATGGAGGAAACTTAATTTGTTGTGATCATTGTATTAGATCTTATCATATATATGTATATTACACATATATTTGAATACATATATACAATTATTGATATTTTAAAAAATCTATATTTTTTTATTTTTAATTATATTTATTTTTTTTTTTCAATATTTTATTGATTTTTAATAGTGTCTAAGTGCGACTGATAGGCCACAGACAAATTACAATTATTGGCATTGCCCCCTTTGTAAAAGAAAAGGCAAAGAAATAATAATTTTGATTTTATCTTTTTACAAAAGTTTAAATTAATAAAATTTATATTATCATTTTTTTTTTTTTTTTTTTTTTTTTTAGGTGTATCTATTGACATTTCCTGGAAAAAAAGAAAAAAAATAAAAACTATCAAGCAAGAAAATAAAAGAAATTAAAAAGAAATTATAATTTTATCTTTACATATATATATATATAACTTTATAATCTTTTTTTTTTGTTTTTTATTTTTATAGTACATATGAAAAAAAAAAAGAAAAAGTTAAGCAAAAAAGTGAAGGGAGCAAATATACAAGTCAAATTAATGTAGGAGAAAATTACCAGGTCTCAAATGTCTCAACATTTTTCTTAAATAATCATTCAGAAAAATATGATGGTATTACATATGAATATATATATATATATGAGATATATTCTTTTATTTTATATAGTTGTCTTTTTTTTTAATTTCTATTGATAATTTTTTTTTTTTTTCTTTTTTTAGAAGTACATAAATCTGAGTTAGTTTATTCACCTTATTTACTGGAAAGAATGAAAGAGAAGTTTTTAAGTGAGGGGCAATATGAATTAGTTATTAAAAATGATTACGAACTAGCAATTTTTATAAAAGAATTAGCAAAAAACTGGAAATGCCAATTAGGGTGGCATCCTTTTACCCCTGAATATGCCTTCAAAATTTTGCATAGAGTTGATTACAACCCTAAAAAAGCTATAGAATTACTAAAAAGTTCAGATTTTAATTTTTTAGGTAAAAAAAAAAAAGCAATTATCTATTTTTCAATATACATTATATATATAACCTTATATTGGCAAATTATTATACCAATATATATAGAACATTTTCTATTTATTTAATTGCGCTAATATAAATGCATTATTTTGTTCAATCTTTATAATTTTTTTTTTTTTTTTTTTTATCTTTTTTTTAATCCATATGTTAAGAAATTTGCGATCCTCCTATACGTAAATACGAAAATAAATGGAGGCCGAGAGATAAAAGAGGGCAAATATCTGGTAAAATTGACGAGAATAAAAATTAAGAAATATATATATATAATCATTAAAAATTAAAATATATATTGTTAAGTTCTTAACAATAAATAAACAATTTTTTTTTTTCATATCTCTTTTAGATTCACCATATCCTTCTTCCGAACTTCTACAAAGTTATATTAAGCGCTCCGTTGAAATTACTTTGGACGAAAAAAAATATAATTGTAACATTAATGAAAAAAATAAATATTATTGTGAAATAAATAAGAATAATATAATAGAACAAAATTATCCACATGAAAGAACAAGAAATGCTTTAAGAAAAGAAGTTGAAGAAGATGAAGAAGAGGAAGAGGAAGAGGAAGAAGAAGAAGAAGAAGAAGAAAAGGAAGAAGTAGAAGAAGATGAAGAAGAAGAAGATGAAGAAGAAGATGAAGAAGAAGATGAAGAAGAAGATGATGAAGAAGATGAAGAAGATGAAGAATATGAAGAAGAAGAAGAAGAAGAAGAAGAAAAGCAAATAGATAAAATATAATGATGTAAATCAGTTAAGTGGATGAAAATTATAATATTTAAAAGGCTATTATAATCATTAAAGATAGTTTCATTTAATATTTATTTGTAAATATTAATATTATATTATCCTACATTTGTATATATATATATATATATATATATTTTTAATTTGTCCATGTATATATATAATTTTTTTTTAAAAAAATATTATTGAAAATTTTTTTTTGTTGAAAAAACTATTATATGTTATTTTATATACATTTGTTAGCATTTTAATTAAAAACTTTAAATTAACGTTATTACTATATATTATTTGTTATTTTCTTTTTTTCATATGTGTTTTTTTTTTTTTTTTTTTTTTTTTTTTTTTTTTCAAAAAAGAAAAGAAATAAAAAAAAAAAAAGAGGAACCCAACAGATTTTTTTGTAAAAATTTTTTATAAAAAATTTTAATTTTATAATTAGTACGAAGTTTAATGTTTTTAATAAAAATATACAAAAACAATTCTCCTAATTTTATTTATTCATCTAAATTATACAAAGGTACTATGATATATATATGAAAAGTATATTTTTTATTATTTTGATCTATCTTTAAACATAAAATTTTTTTTTCCTTTTTTTTTTTTTTTACGTTTCTAAATCTATAACGGAATTATAATGCTTACCTGTAAAAAAATATATTGAAATAATAAATTATAAATAAAATGTTCCTCATTACAAAATAATTTCTTATATAATCTTTTATATATACTCTTTACCTAATGCATACAATTTATGATGGAAGCATATATGTAATTCTTTGTCGTAATTTTCCTCCTAATTAAAAATAATTAAAGGTAATGAAATATGAAGCATAGAAAAATAAATAATGTACTATATTTATAATTATACAAAATTTCTTTTTTCAATTTTTATAAATATACATATGACACGTTCATATTGACATCATAAACAGTAATTTTTTTTTGTAAAATATTTGATAAAGCTTTTATTTCTATTTCACTCCTATACAAAAAGTAGAATTAAAATATATATATATATATAAAATTATTTTTACATTTAAAAATACATAAGAAATTTCCTTGTAATAATAAAATTATAAAAATAGATAAATGAAATTATATAAATATTATTAATATATTATTAGTTTTCTTTTTATTCCTTTACCCATAAATACCGTTAATAATTTCTTTACAATAATTAAAAAAGGGATCTAAAAAAAATGATGGAAAAAGAATAATTTCTTTTATTTTGGCTTTTTAATATTTATAACAAGTTTTTATACCATCATCTGAATCAGAGTTCATATTATTTTGATTAACATAAATAAAATTTATGAATAAAGATTTGTTCTGTAATAAGTATATTGATGTAAGGAATCTTAAAATATCGCTACTTAAATCATATGGATTTATATTAGGAAAAATACTAAAATCAAAATTATTTTTATTTCTATAATCATTTAAATCAACATTATTTAATGAAAAATTTTCTTTATTTATAATATTTAAAAAATCAGTTAGAGTATATTTATAGTTTTTATTTCTTTCTCTAAGTTGATGTAAAATTGATTCATATAAACAATTTCCATCTGGAGGAATAGGAAATATTGTTTTATTTAACTTTTTCAAATTTTCTAATAATTCTTCATATTCTTTTTCTCCACATTTGTTTTTTAATTTCTCATTTCTTATTTCTTCTAATTCTTTTTGTTTAGCTTTTTTTCTATTTTTTAAAGCTTTTTTAGAAATTTCGTTATATAAATATAAATTATCTGTAACTAAATTATTTATATTTTCACACTCATTTTTATTTTCATTTATATTATTATTTTTACCTTCATTATTATGGTCATTATATAGAGAATTCAATTTATTTAATTCTTCTTCCAGTTTCAATAAGTTTTCACTTTTTTTAATTTTGTTACAAGTTTTTTTCTTTTCTTTTTTTATTTCTTCAGTAATTTTTTTTAATCTCCTTTTATATTCATGATAGCTTATATGATTCTCATCCTCCATTTTAAAAATTCCAATAAAAAATATTTATCTTTTAACAAAATAAAATATAATTTTATATATATTTTTTTTTATCACATAATATGTAAATATAATTTATTAAAACAAAAATATTTTTATTAAATGGTTGTTAGTTTTATGCAATGAAGAAAATGTAAATTACATGTGTGAAATTATATGTATGATATATATCTTATTTATAAAAAAATTTGACTTTTTTTTTTTTTTTTATACTTCAATTTCATTTATAGTTAAAAAAAAAAAAAAAAAAAAAAGAGATTAAAAATATTAAGAGAATGAACAAAATGATAAAGAAAAAACAAGTGGTGAATAAAAAATAAAATATGAAACAAAGAAAAAAAAATCTTTTAATTATAAAAATATATAATATTTAAATAAAATATAGAAAATAATAAAAAGTAGTATTTTCATCTTAGTATATAAATATAGTAGAAAATTGTATTTTTTTTTTTTTTTTTTTTTTTTTTTTTTTTTTTTTTTTAAATAAAAAGTATT